TCTTTTTAGTTTTGCTGCGTATGTCACTGTTAAGGTCATATAAAAAGCTTCTGACAAAAGCAGCACCTAGGTTAAAGTCACCAGCCTTCTTACCCTACCTTCATGACCTTGATAACTATCTAACATGTAAGAATTTGAAGACCCCTTCAGGACTGTGAGACCAGTTTTTTGTTTATTTGGCTTTCAAGCAAAGTTTAATACAATTTCATTCATATTTTAGCAGAAGATCCACCTAACTGGCCTCCTGGTGGATAACTATAACCAGTAATAACCAATTTCTTCATAAATGACCGACTACTTATCTCATATGATGTCTGCATCAGTGATGAGAGACAAGAAACAATTACACACTATGTCAGGGTTCAACAGTAACAGAAAAATTCTGCCTTGCCAAGTTCGGATCAGCAACCCCTAGATTACTAGCAACAACAACATCTTGACAAGGTATTATGCTCTTTCTTTAAATAAATCAGTCCACCATTTTAATTGATAACTTACTCTGTACAACAAGGGTAATAACTTTGGTCTCAGATCCTGCCACATTGGTAACAATACACTCATAGATAGCTTTATCCTCAATCTTTGAGTTTAAAATGGTCAACCCATAATCTCCAAACAGGTACTTTTCTGATGTAGGATTAAACGGTACAAAGTTTTTCCTCCATGTGATTTCAGGTGTTGGTACACCACTACCGACACATGGCAATACAACTGTCTCGTTCTCTGTCACAGTCAATCTTTCATTAGGCTCTCCAGCTATTGTTGGTTTCACTAAACATAAAACAAATTAAATCCTTAATCTTCTGAAATTTTAAACAAACATTGTTTTGAATATTGACACAGTCCGTTGAAAATTTAAATTTTTTCAATATCAACATACACAAATTATGCTACCACCAGTATAGACAGGCTTCATTAAAAGAAAGTATCAAATGCTTACATGGACAAATAATGTATTAAATTGTTCCAAATTGGAAATGTTTCTAAAATTGGGAGCAAAACCCTAGATTTACAATTTGATCTTTACTTAGTTATCTAGATAAAATGTTCGGATAATAATAACTTGGTAATTTACCCTGAACAAAAAGGTCCACAACCTTTTCTATATCTCCAGCTATATTAGTGGCCTGGCATCTATATTCACCAGTATCAGTGGCCTCGGCCGAGAAAATCTCTAAACTCCCATCTTCTCTTATATAGTAATGATAGTCTGTCAGTGAAATGGGACTTTCATCCTTGAACCTAAATACAGATACAGTATGTTAAACTTGAACCTAAATACAGATACAGTATGTTAAACTTGAACCTAAATACAGAAACAGTAATGTTAAACTTGAACCTGAATACTGGAACAGTATGATAAACTTTGACCTGAATAGACAACATGTTAAACATTAGCCAGAATACAGAAGCAGTAATATTAAACTTGAACTTGAAAACAGGAACAATATCTAAAACTTGAACATGAATACTGGAACGCTATGTTAAACTTGAACCTGAAAACAGGAATAAATGTTACACTTGAACATGAAAACAGGAACAATATGTTAAACTTGAATATGAAATACTGGAACGGTATGTTAAACTTGAACCTGAAAACGAAACAATATGTTAAACTTGAACATGAAAACAGGAACGGTATGTTTAACTTGAACCTGAAAACAGGAACAATATAATAATCTTGAACATGAATACAGGAACAGTATGTTAAACTTTAACTACAGGAACAATATGTTAAACTTGAACATGAATACTGGAACAGTATGTTAAACTTGATTCATTATGTTAAACCTGAACATGAAAAAAGGAACAATATGTTAAACTTGGACATGAATACTGAAACAGTATGTTAAAACTTTTACTATAGGAATAATATGTTAAACCTGAATGCAGAAGCATCGATTAACTTTAACCTCAATACAGAGACAGTATGTTAAACCTGAACCAGTTAATGTTAAACTTGAACCTGAATAGAGAAACAGTATTATAATCAAACCTTGCAATTCTACATGTTACCAGAGGTTGTAAGGTAAAGCAAGGTGATATTATTCATTTAAGAATCTTGAATTACAGACACCTTGTTTCATATAAGCTCATAATTGATAAAACTTGATTAAACATGCACTACATATATTTTATTTAAATTGTGTGGATTTGTTTATCCTCGCCACTGGAGTGATGACCATATTTTGGAAAGCATATTAAAAAACAAAGGACTTCCCCAATCATTCAAGAAAGAATTTAACTCACCATGTTATCAAAGGTGTTGGATCTCCCTGTACATTACAAGGAAGAACTACAGTATCACCTTGGTTAATTCTAAAATCTGTTATGTTATCTTCCGGCGAGTCAAACCCAAATATTGGCGGAACTGAAAAATACAAATAATATAATGTATGTTACCAGTAAATAAATAAAGGAACCATTTGTCTGTTTAGGTGTTAATTTTCGTTAATTTCATTAAAATTAAACAATATTACAAGTGGCAAAGTGGGAGTGTCAAAGATCATTACTGAATAATATATGGTGTAAGTATACAAGATAGAAAGTTACAATGTAAGCTAAAATAACATATTGTTCTTGTCAACAGAAGACTATAAAAATGTAAACATTACCTTGAACTTCAACCCTCACTAGGAAGGAAGCATTGCCACCAACATTAGAAGCTAGACACAGGTAGTCTCCACTATGGAATGCCTGAAATAATCATATATATATATATGAGTCCTGTCATGACAAAACCAACATAATGGGTTTAATAAGTCTTGATGATATATTTACAATATTATATAAAATGTTTTTTTTAATTAAAATGAAATTATTACATAAAACTAAAGCAGTAGTGTATATTATGAGATAATATACACTTTATAAACATCCAATGAAATTCAAGCTTATAAATGTGTTGTATTATAAATTAAACATCATACATTATTTTACCTGAACATCATCAATGTTAACATTGCCATCACCAGATTTTGTGGTAAATTCATCAGTTGTTATTGTCTGACCTTCATATAACCAGTTGACTTTTGGTTTAGGATTTCCAAGTAATACCTGGCAGTTTAATTCAACTGAATCTCCTGTAGTGACCTGTATCACAGGGTCCATGTAGCCAATCAGTGGTGGTACTTAAAAGTAAAAGCAGTTTATTTTTAATACCAAACTGGAGCTAAAATATGTCATGATATTATTACAATATATTGGTTCTATCATGATACAGTATCATGGTATTATTGTGATATCTTGTTTGCATCACAATAAAGTATAATAATTGCCATATATTGGTTCCATCACAGTACAGTATCATCATATTATGATATCTGTTTGCAGTACAAAACAGTATCATAACCACAATATCTTGGTTGTATCACGCTACAATATTATGATATTATTGTTATATCTTCTTTGCAGTACAAAATAGTGTCATAGTTCTGTCAGGATACAATATCATGATATAAATCTTGGTTCTATAATGATTCAGCATCATAGTATAGAAAAATGTATCACTGTGTAGTGATACCTCAGCATTGTATCATGATACTGTAGCAGCGTTATCCACAATACAACCATGTATCAATGACATCTGACCATTCTTGCCTCTCACTGCTGTAAGTTTGACCATCTCCAGCCTCTTCTGATGATTCATGTGAGAAAGCTATAATCCAGCTAGTTTACGAAAAATGTCAGTGGTTCTATTCAGGTACCTAACATTATGTACAGAGGGGCATCAGAGGTCTTCCTCCAACACAGCAGTAAAACTGTAAAGTCACCCTATAACCTATTATACTGTGTTGATGCGCTATGAAACCCAACCATAAAAATAATCTGACAATCCTTCAAAATTGTGTACATGTGTACAGCACTTCTTTCTTTAGGTCATGATATGTATGTAACCTACTCTAAAATCATTACTTATGCATTATAAAATTCATGTCTGTCCTTTATAAAGAAAGAGAAACTTGTTTGTTTCTGAGAAATAATGTGCCTTTAAATCAAACACATAGAATAACTGCAATCGCATGTTCTTGTGAAATTTTTAGGATCTTAGGGTCTATATGACCCCATTCTAGTGACTGCACGATACACAATGTAGAATAAAATGCAAGTATTTATGTCTTCAATGTCAATACAATAATTTTTACGCATCTATTCTTAAATATTTATTTTTGTCAATTGATTACAGGAAGTAAGTGTGTTGTAAACGATAGTTTTGCTATGATTGGTCAAAATGGAGTAGTTTTCGTCTATCACAATATTCGATTTCGATTATTCGAACCCATCGATTATTCGAAGTAAATATTCAATCCCAGGTACTTCCAATAAACGGGGTTGGACTGTATATAATAATTATTATGTATTTCTATTCCATACAAGGTCATCTCAGGCATCTCAAACAAAGTAAAACACAAAGTTACATACATGGCAGATTAATTGAGGTAAATATTATAAACTTACAATAAATGTAATGAGATCTGACATTTAACTGTACTTAACTTAAATGTTTGTTGTTTTTTCAGCATACCAACACAATTTAAGTCATATGGCACCGAAATAAGAAAGATGATTTTGGGTAGCCTCGGGTGTAACAAAATGTTATGTGATTATGAATGAAAGTACGAAATATGTTCAAACACAAGTGATATACACATTGTATGAACTGACTGATCATATTTACCTATTCCGGTAACAGTAAGATAGGCAGATGATGATACTGTTCCAAACTGGTTCTGGGCAACACACACATAACTTCCCTCATCAGCCTTCCTTAAATCTACATACAAAATGTTTCAAAATAATTCTTTTTAAAACAAGATGATAGAAAAACAAGTGAAACACACATGTCAATAGAAAAACCAGTGATCTTGCAGTAGCATATCATGCCAAGTTCATCCAGACATAGAGCTATGATTTAATTTGGTGAAAATAGAAAATATCTTGCTTAAAAATGATCTAAAATAATTGAGTAAAATCTCTTTAAAAGACTTATCAAATGTACCCACTGTAAACAAATTAACATCCTATCTTAATTACATACATACTAATGTAATTATCTTCACTATATAAATAATATGTATTTTATCATTTGCTGCCTAACTATACTTTATGGAAATAACATTTTAATCAAATTATCTCCCTTGAATGCAGTAATACAGTGTGGATTATAAACAAAACAGATTATATTACAAATATTTTTATTGAAAAAAATTGTAGAAGGTTAAAGGCTAATAAAGGTCAAATTAGAATTTTTATCCATCAATATATTTCATAGAGGGGAGCAGTGACCTAGTGGTAAAGGTGGCTGCCTCTCAACCCAGGAATCATGGGTTCCAGCCCTACTCAGGTCATGATAATGTTTTATCATTTGTCACCAGTACTGGTTAGTTCCAGGAAGCGGACTCTAAAGTGATAAATATAAGTTGCAAAAAATTCTTTCACAATCCAGCTAAAATAAATATGTTTAAACTAATATATGTCATAAAGAGGTATTATATGTGACCTACCTGTAATGAACAGATCTCCTCTAGCCATTTGTTTTATTTTGTTTGAATCAAGCGGTCTACCATCTTGTCTTTTCCAGAATACTTTAGGTAACGGTGAACCTGTTGCCCGACATCTCAGGGTAGCGTTACCTTCAATATCTTCTCCCGTGTTCTCCGGAGCTTCTATTATCTTTGGTCCCGCTTTAAGTAACAATGACGAAGAAAAGAAATTCAAACTTTACCTTTACTAAGCTAAATATCTTAAATGGACTAGTCAATTTTTTTATATTGACTAAACCCTTCATCATTTTAAGGGAAATTTTCAAAATAAGCAGTGATTGAATAGGGAAAAATGCAGACCATGATTAGACACTGGTGGTGGTGGTGGTGTTGGTAGTTTTCACCCTGGATCACGGCAGTAAGCTATACTGAATTAACCAGAGCACTATTCAGCCAGTCCATCGTTCCTGGACAGGCTGTCAAGCAGTTTACTAGTACAAGTTGCCTACACTATCACAAGGAACTGATGACCTCTGCTAGAGCACAGGTACAGTGCAAATGACCATAGAAAGGATGACATGATCAATTACAACTAAAGTGACCTGCACTGTCTGGCAATCAAACCTGGACTGCCCATTTCACAGTGCAACACTATCTAACCAATCAATTTTGATCAGACACATCAGATGAGCATGTTGGTTTTAGTCAGCACTGGTCACACGGGTTAATTTCTTCAAGGTTTTTCTAAATTCTATTATGTATCTACAACTTTATTTAATGAAAATTTGCCAAGAGCAGTCCAATACTTAAAGATACATTTTATAATATGCCAAACAACAAAATGATAATATTCAAAGCTACATTAAAATCATTTGATCTATACAGTATATTAGAAAGAAAGTTATAAATTAGAATCATTCTTCTTAAAATAAATTACGATCATTAGCATTTTAAACAAATAACATGGAACATTTTGCATGTAAGACATGCACTGATGTCAAATTTATAAATGTATTTAAATGATATCCGTGTACAAAGGTAATAATATTTCTGTTTGCAAAGTATATCAAATACAAGCAATTATCATAGTATTGCAAGCAATCCATAAGTCCCCTACCGGTTAGAATGCCAGCAACATTCTGATGGGCCATTGGCCATTCAATTTTACCAGTGAATGAATGACATGAATGAACTTAAATCTTTTGAGTTCCAAGTTTGTCTATATCACAGTAATGTGTTAAGTTTCCCTGCCTAGTAAGGAAATTATGTTTATACAACCTTGTCTTATTATTATGATGTGGGAATTTAAAGTAAATCCTATAAGGAATGAAGAAGTTGGAGTAAAAAATACCAATTACTCGAAAAAAAAATCTAAGTTCAAGGGGGACATAATTCTGGAAACAGTCTTGCTAGAGTATCTAACCTTCTCAAAAATGTTGAGTGATAATAAGAAACATATATATGAAGTTTGAAGTAGATACATTAGGAAATAAAGAAGTTATTTAAAAAAAAGACAACATTTTTTTTCATAAAAATTCTACGTTCAAGGGAGATAATACTGATAACTTTTGTGCTAGAGTTGTAAACCTTGTCACATATGATGTGGTTGATGACCAGAAACTTATATTTAAAGTTTGAAGTAAACACCTTAAGAAATAAAGAACTTATAGTGAAAAAGCTGAAAAATTTAAATCAGAAATCTTGAAATTCAGGCTATTTGTTGCCATAGCAACCAGACTTTTCAACATAGAAAGAAAAGAAAAATATGTGCATAATCTCCATACTGCCATCTATCCATATATCAAGTTTCATAAAAATATTTTCAGTACTTTTTGCGTTATCGCGGGATCCAGTTTTGTGGACGGATGGACTGACGGACTGACAGACCGGTTAAACCGGTAGGGGACAATGAAAGGGTTAAAGGTACTCCACTGAGGTACGGCCGAATGTCACAAAAAAAAAGTAAAATTTCACGAACCGATATTTTTTGTTACCTGCGAGTTAAGGACATTCAAACAGAATCAGTGATACATTGATATGTGTTCTTTGGATTGGCAAGTCGTTTGAAATACATATTTTCTCCAATTTTGTGGGAAAAGCGTTTAAACACCTTTCAGTTTGCAAATCTGAATAAAAACAACGGTCACGTGAAGATTCTCGGGATGACTAAAAAGCGAAACGGAGAATTTTTTGTGTATCGGCAGCAACGAAAGTGCGAAACCGGAATATACCAACAATCCATAAATTTAAAAGCAAATAATGGGTTTGTTTGTTAAATTTCTTGTTGTTCACATATGTTCTTGTGAGAAAAATCTTTCAAAAGCAATTTCAATATATTTAAAGCATTACATTGTTGTAATCATGTTTTTTTCTCCATTACAATGATGAATTTAGCTAAACGTACGGAGTTCGAAACTGACATACACAAATTTTACAAATATTCTATGTTAATTTGAGAGCTTTCGTGTAATGGTTAAAATATCATGATATCTAGGCTAAGAAAATTTACTTTGTCAATCAGTGTAATGGGTCCTATTTCAAAGGTCACTTTGGTTTATCTGACACCCGTTCAGGAAAAAAACTTCGTAATACCTTTTATACAACGAACATGAATTTGAGTATTGTAAGCATAAAAAATCACACGCACACACAGAATGTTATTCCAGAATTTTCTCTTTATCTCTGATCAAAGCACTGAAAGCACTGGCTAAATAGAGAATGAATCCGGCCTCATTATAGGACATTTAGGCTTCAACTTTATTAGATAATATTTCTAATGTATGTCTAGTGCACATAATTAAAATTCTTTAAGAAAAAATCGATCTCCTTTGCTAGATAGATCTAAAATTTAATATTTATCATTTTACATACATACTTGCATATTTATCCGCATTGGATGTAAACTTTGTTGATGAAAAGATTACTATGTTTTGATCTAGACATTCAAAACTATAGGTAATTGATACCTGTTTCATGCACATGTAAACATTATCAAGAAGGTCGGAAAAGAGTTACAATCTGGCTCTATTAATATTATTATTATCATTATTGATTTAGCAGATATCCTGATAATTTTTTTCTTATTGTAAGGCCTCCGTACTAGTGATGGGTCAATTGAGCTGTGCTTTAATGTTACCAATATATTGAAAGCTTCCCGGTGGAAAAGAAATTGAGAGCGTTATAAGAGTAAAAAAAGAAAACTGGAATAAAGACAATCAAGGCGACGGCAACGTTCACATGACGCAGCCCCCGACATAGTCAAGCTTCCACAGCAGGGTTATTGCCGTGACTAGTGAAATAAACTTAAAACTGATTATATAGTTGTTGTTTTTAAACCCTAACTTTCTTTCAAATTAAACGAAACAAACAAAATCATGATACAGCAAGACAAATGTGAAGGGCAGGTAAGTAAAAGTAACTTTAAGAATCAGTAAGATATTATTAACCTCACCTCATACAACAACCATTGCTTAAACTATGTTTTATAATACTTCCAACTCCTAGACGGTAAAGGGCAATGCATATATAAACCATTGTTTTTACTCCTTATAGCCTGTTTATCATGGCATACTCATTATTAATAGTTTTGTAAATGTTTTGATAAAAAAAGTCGGGTTCATTTCCCGACTATTTTGAAAACACGAGTGACTGGTCTCAAAAACTACAATGGCTAAATATTGATCGGATGCATTTCATTGCATAAATAAGTTAGGGAGAGAACGCTGCTTTTCTTTCTTTATAGCACGAAAACCTTTACTTTTCTCTACTTTTGTCTCTTCTTTCTTCCTGTTTTTCATTTTTGTTATTTATTCTTTTTATTTACCCCTTGAAAGCCTGAAATTAATGTTTTCATTGATAATTTAGCTGTGGTCCTGTTTTGCTTGGTCGTGTGGGTGTTGTATTCATTGAATGTTACCATTCCTTTTTGTATTTCTGATCGAAGATTAGGAAATACAAAGCTAACATTCAATCTCTGACACAGCGGTTTCACGACAAAACTAACAACAAACAGTTCTTAAAACACCTGAAAACTACCGATTTAAAAGAAAGAAATATTTTCATTTTGTTATAAGTATCCAACAAATTACAACGCATTCAAAGTTTAAAAGTAGCTTTGGCTTATAGAATTGTCAATGAATGCACATTCACAAATTACGCGGATGAATATCATTTTAATCAATGAAAATGCTATTTTAAGCGATGTCGAGAGCTTATTTCACAAATAAATCTGACTGTCGAGTAGTGGAATATATACATGTCGGGCTGTTTTGGCGAAAAGATTTTTGTTAAATTATTTACATCAATGTTAAAGAACAGGTTTATCTTGAACAAAAAACCTCGAAATTAACCCGAAATGCAGTGAAAAATCTAAATTTAGTATTACTTGATTTTATTCAGGCATTGTTCGTATATCTTCTCCGTGGTGCAAGGGTAACGCGCTCGTTTAGTGTGTCTGGGGTTCAAATCCAATTCAAGGCAATTATTTTTTATAAAGTTTCTTTGTTAAGGAAATAGCCACGATATGCAAGGATAAAGTGTGGCTGTCATAAAAATGAACATAAATGATTTTTGATGCAACTCTAGTCATGCAAAATGTTTCAAACTCTGGTACCAAGCAAGAAGAATTATAGTACATAAAAATAAACTTATACAGGAAAATAATACAGTTGTACAGTGCGATTTATATATTGCAAAGATCAGAAAATACCACAGAGTTTGCAGCCTTTTTGATTTATCTTGTTTTTCGTATGTATTTCTGGAGATTAAATGGGTGGTTCTCGTAATACTTTAAGATTCATAAGATTGTGTATTAAAAGCCTTTGTAAATTGTTTCGGAAATACTGGATATCGTTTTGAAAAGTATTTTAAACACGTGAACGAAAAATTTCACAGTAACAGGAATTAAAATTAATTCCTAAGTATTTCGATTATAGTGATTATACCGTAATCAAACGTTAAAGGTCTCCTAAGAAATGTTCTTTGGAATTAAAAATTAAGTGTAAGCACTAGAACATAAACCACCAGATTGCTTGCAAAATCTTTATCGGCAGGATAAATTGGTTCACAAAACATGATTTTTTCACAGTCAAGATCAAATGAACAGACTGTCATTTTCTTCCTGTTACCGAATGATACGAACAGACTGTCATTTTCTTCCTGTTACCGAAAAAAACACACCAGGAAGATTTCAAGTAGAGGACACGTCACTGACAGAATGTTCTTAATATTTGAATAGAAAAGAATTTGCTAAAGCCAATTTATGAAAGAGAAATCGGGGATGCTACTTATTAAATTATTTGCCTATAAAAGAGGATTTATTTTACTCGTTTAGATTATTTTCAAAAACAAAAAGTCTCAAAAAGCAAAGGTTAGCTGATATTTAGATGTAAACCGCGACATATAAAATTAATTTACCTGTGAAACTGGAGTGAAAATGTGATAGTTTATCCGTTTTTTTCTTCAGTGCCTTCAGCACTTTGATCTTATCTGTAGTACAAGTAAACTATATCGTTTTCACCAAAAAATCATTAAATTCTAAACAAGTTTCTAATAGAATCATAAACATTTATTGTATCATAGTTTGAAGACTTTTCTGTTGAAAACGTGTCAGAGTTAAATCGAATTCATATACATGCACAGTGCGTAACTGGAGTGCAGGTAATAAATACCAACACTCCAGAGCATGCCCATTGATGTATTCATTCTTTTTTTTTTTTTGGGGGGGGGGGGGGGGTGCTTTTATGGAATAACGATAGAAATGCCACATTCAGAAGCTAGTTCATAGGTTTTTTCTGGGGTTTCATATTGTTACAATAGGAAACGTGCATTTAATTTTGCCTATGGTATGAATATGATGTATTTGTGTGTGGAACGTGTATGTACGATCCTATCAAGATAGCCTACGAAACGTCACTCATTACATACACAGATGCCCGTTTGTGCCAGAAACAATTTTGCAAAGGGGGCACCTGAGTTCTTTCTCCACCAGTAAAACTGAAGAGTCGCCAAAATGACCTACACAGTTTTGTGTGACGGAACCCCCACTCCATCCCAAATACAAACAATCAAATCAAATGAGACATGTCATTAACTGTATTTGATTTAAATACGTTATAGATAGCGTTAAATACTTTTATTAGTGTGATTACACTGTGCTTGTTTTAGTATAAATATCACCGATGCATTATGTTTGCCTTAGAATATTGAAATTGAAACTGAAATGTCAATGAAAATAATTGTACATGTATATAATATCTTTCCGTTTTGTCTAGAAAATGACCGCTTCGCTGGCGTTTGATTTTTCAAGACAACGAAATTGCTACCTTGATTATCTTTTATACAGTTTTTCTTCGTTATACTCAAGTTATATAAACATGATAGGTTAGACAGTTGAGAAAAAATCAATAGACTTTTTTACCCCCGTTTACTCTGTTGTTCCAAAAATGTCCGTTGCGTATTTTTAGTTATACCCGATGAATTGTGGGTAACTTCTGTACATGTCTGGGAAAACCAACTTTCATTTTTGCATCAAAAGCTAATGTGAATATGCATTTTCTAGCATAATTGTTGTTAGAGGGTTGGTTAAAGTGTAAGTTATTGTTATTTTAGTCATAATATTGTGATTTGTGGGGAAATTTGTATACATTTTTTTGGACACCAAATTACCCGTCAGACCTCAGTGTAGCCCCTTTAATGCATGCGATAATAAGGTAATGTATGTTAGTGAAATTTTCAACCTACAGCCAACTTCTAGGAATACAGTTGCAGAATCACTGCCGGCCTCGTTCACAGCTTCACATTTATATTCTCCTCCATCTTGTTCTTGTGTGCCTAATATCGTCAGCTTTCCATTTGTACCGATCTTCACGTATGATAATGCTCTCAGCTGTTACATGATAAAAACAAGATTGCATTTGAGAAAAATGCTATGCCACCGCATTAATACAACACTAAATAGTAGTGTAGGAACAGATTTTTTTTTTGTTTCTATACAATTGAAGATTGTCATAATGCATAGATCCCTGACCTATGTAATTCTTATTATCAGATTAGTGATTAAAATCTATTGTTAATCAAATAAAAGATCAGAGCAGGAATATATCAATGCACTTGAGTCTAGTGAATTTGGTGGTGAAGGTCATATTTCACACAGCCTAAATTTCATGACTTCATCAAAGGACAACACAGTAAGACACTTTGTCAAAATCTAGGTAAGCTGATATCAAAGTCCACTTTACATCTTAATCTGTGCACATGGTTCAAATTTCATAGCTGTAGATCAAAGCACAAGAAAGTAGGTCACATTATCAAAATCTAGGTCACCTGATATCAAAGTACAATTTTACAACTAAAACTGTGCACATGGTCAAAATTTCATTGCTGTACATCAAAGGACAAGAAAGTAGGTCACTGTCCCCTTGGTCAAGGCAAAATTTTGACCCAAGGGTTTAATTCAAAACAATCTTAATACAGGTCCACCAAACAACATTTTAAGTCCAATATCTAAGCTGAAGCTTTCTCCCATTCAGAAAACATTTGTTTTATTTTCTGTTTTTACTATGAGAATCATGCCCCCCGGGCAGGGCCAGTTTTGACACCAGGGGAAAAATTTGAATAACTTTGGTAGAGGACCTATAGATGATATTATATAGCAAACATGAAAGCTCTATGCCTTGTACCTTCAGACAAAAATATTTTTTTTTTTTTTTTTTACTAGATGTACATAATGTAAATCAATGACCCCCGGGGCAGAACCAATTTTGACCCCAGGGCTAAAATTTGAACAATCTTGGTAGAGGTTCACTTCGCAAAGTCTCATGCCATATATTTAAACTCTAGCCTTTGTCAATTCAGAGAAGAAGATTTTTCAAGTTTTTACTTTATACATATAAGGAAATCTAGCGCCTCTGGGCAGGGCAATTTCAACACTAGGGGCATAATTAAAACAACTTTAGTAGAGGACCCAAATATGATATTATATACCAAATATCAAAGCTTTAAGCCTTGTACCTTCAGATAAGAAGATTTTTTAATTTCTTACTCTATGTTCATAGTGAAAATCAATGACCCCTAGGGGTGGGGCCAATATTTGAACAATCTTGCTAGAGCTTCACTACACAATGTTTCATGCAAAATATCTTACCTCTAGCATTTGTCAATTACTAGAAGATTTTTTTTTAAAGTTTTTACTGTAAGTTTTTACTATATACATATAAGGATAACCAATGACCCCCGGGGCGTGGTCGATTTTGACCCCAGGGCTATAATTTGAACAATCTGGGTAGAGGACTACCAGACAATGCCTTATGCAAAATATCTAAGCTTTAGGCCTTTTGGGTCCTTATAAGAAGGGTATTTTAAGTTTTAACTATATGTACATATAGTGAAAATCAATGACCCCTGGGGCGGGGCCGATTTTTGACCCCAGGGCTATAATTTCATATCTTGGTAAGGGTCTACCAGACAATGCCTTATGCAAAATATATAAGCTCTAGCCCTTTGGTCTTTACAAGAAGGTATTTTAAGTTTTTACTATATGTACATACAGTGAAAAATCAATGACCCCCGGGGCGGGGCCCATTTTGACCCCAGAGCTATAATTTGAACAATCTGGGTAGAGGTCTACCAGACAATGCCTTGATCAAAATATCTAAGCTCTAGGCCTTTTGAGTCTTTACAAGAAGGTATTTTAGTTTTTACTATATGTATATATAGTGAAAATCAATGACCCCTGGGCGGGCCGATTTTGACCCCAGGACTTATAATTTGAACAATCTTGGTAGAGGTCTACCAGACAATGCCTTATGCAAAATACCTAAGCTCTAGGCCTTTTGGGTCTTTACAAGAAGATTTTTTAAATTTATTCTTATAATTCCTTTCGGTTGCCATGGCAACCAGATTTCTGCATGGAATGAAATTCTTTGAACAACTTTGGAAGCCCTTCACCCAAGGATCAATCCTGCCAAGTTTGGTTTAAATTGGACTTGTGGTTTTTCACAAGAAGATTTTTTAAATTCACTATATAATCCATATAACACACACACACACAAACAAACACACACACACACAGGTGAATCGCTATATGCCACCGCATCGCAGATGCTGCGGTGGCATAAAAATTACATTCTAGTATTTCAACACACAAAATATGACTGTGTATACATACCAAAAATATTAGCTTCTATTCATGAAAATATTTCTGTATGCATAGAGATAATTTTCAAACCACAAGATAAAAAGTTTTCTCTTAAATTGTGTGTTTTGGCTGAATCTAGAAGAAAGTCGGGCAAGACACCAGTGAAAATAAGGAAAATATGTGTCACAGCAGTTAAAAATAAAATTTTTACAGTGAAAATACAGAAAATGAAAATATGAATTTTATTTCATCAGTATTTCTCGATTATTTATTAATAAATATATAAGTATATAATGTAATGAATGTGTCTTATTGTTTAAGTCAATAAGGCCTTATTATTATAGCAGACTATTGGATAAAACTGTATGAAGGGAGGTAACTGCCAAGATGTTTCATATTTTAATTTTGAGTTGTTTCCCTTGGGCAATTTTCTCAATATTCCAGTTAAACTTGGTTTAAGGACAGATTGTAACAGTTATGATATATACCTGTCTATCACCTTTATACCAGTTTATCTGTGGTGCAGGTATACCCACAGCTTTACATGATAATACAGCTTCATCACCGTCGGCAACCAAAACTTTACTGTCATACTGGGTTATAACAGGGCTCTCTACAAAATATAACAGTGTTTTGTTCCTTTTTTTTTATTTAACTGTTTTTACACAAAACTTGCAAAAATGATGTGTGTGTTTGTTAACCCTTAGTGCACTAAACATGTTAAATGGACTTGTCCATCCTTCAATCTGGGCAATACCATTCATAATTTTTAGGTAAAATATTAAAATTCAGTAAAAACTAAACAGTGCAGACTTTGATAACACAGCATGGATGTGACATCTGATCTTGTTCTGAACAAGTTGTATCTTAAACCTTGTAATGATTAGATGAGAAATATTCTGTTAACACTACATAGTGAACATGCTTTATGAATACTGGAAGTCAGCCTCGAAGCCGGGGGGGCCCGTGGTTAACATTTCAGCCCGAGTGCACTAAAGGGCCAATTACAGGCCCATTTAGGGGAAAACCCGTTGTTTCCTTTTTTTGAACCAAAAAATTTGGGGGAGGGTTTCCCAATTTTTGTAGAAAAAAGAGGGCCACCCCCGAGGTCACCTATAGGCCCCCCCCAAGATTGTTTCCCCAAAAGGGGTGCTTGGTAACACCCTATCTTAACTCTAACCTTTTAGCTATTTGGGTTTTTTTCAAAGAGAGATTTTTTAAGTTTTTTGCTATAAACATATAAGGAAAATCAATGACCCCCGGGGTGGTGCCAATTTTGACCCCAGGGCTTTTATTTGACCAAACTTGGTAGACACCTATTAGAACATGTTTGATGCTAAATATTTTAGCCATAGCTCTTTGAGTTCTTTAAAAGAAGATTTTTTAGTTTTTACTATATGAGGGAAAATCAATGACCCCCCGGGGCAGGGCCAATTTTGACCCCAGGGCTTTTATTTGATCAAACTTGGTAGACACTTATTAGAAAATGTTTTATGCTAAATATCTTAGCTCTAACTCTTTTGGTTCTTTAAAAGAAGATTTTTTAAGTTTTTACTATATGCATAGAGGGAAAATTAATGACCCCCTGGGGCGGGGCCAATTTTAACCCCAGGGCTTGTATTTAAACAAACTTGGTAGACACCTATTAGAACATGTTTGATGCTCAATATCTTAGGCATAGCTCTTTGAGTTCTTTAAAAGAAGATTTTTTTAGTTTTTACTATATGCATATAGGGAAAAATCAATGACCCCCCGGGACGGGGCCAATTTTGACCCCAGGGCTTTTATTTGAACAAACTTGGTAGACACTCACTAGAAGATGTTTCATGCCAAATATCTAAGCTCTAGCTCTTATGGTTTTTTTAAAAGAAGATATTTAAAGTTTTTTCTTTCGGTTGCCATGGCAACCAGAGCTTTGCATGGAATTAAATTCTTTGAACAATTCTAAAGGTGACCACCAAAGGAACATTCCTGTGAAGTTTGGATGAAATTGGCTTAGTGGTTTATGAGGAGATGTCATTTAAAGTAAAAGTTTACAGACGGATGGCGGACGACGGACAGACGGACGCCGGACGAAAAGCGATCACAAAAGCTCACCCTGTCCCTTTGTGACAGGTGAGCTAAAAACTAAACACACCCAAGAAAAACATAATAACAGAAAACAAGACATGACAATAAGTGATTCAAGTTGACAAGGGAAGCCGCCTGAACATTCCATTTTAACTAGCCAGATAGAACTTACCTACAAAGTTGAGCGTTGCAACTGCCCTATTCTCTCCAGCTGGGTTAGTCGCTACACACGTATATTCACCCTCGTCACCTTGCTGCATATTAAATATACTCAACTTGTTCCCGGCAACACGAACTTTCTCGTTAGCGATCATTAATTGATTAGCTCTTAACCAGTTTATTTTTGGTTCTGGAAATCCTTTAGCTATACATTCGATGTCTCTAGTTTCACCAAAAGCAAAGCTGGCCGTTGCTGGAATAACTTCAGCAATAGGAGGCACTAAAAAAAAAACAAGAATAGCATCAATGTATGCTCAGTGACAGAGATTTGACAATCCTTAGATCAGTTGCACTGATATATTCAATCCTTCATTCAGTTGCATTTCAATTTTCTCCATTTAATTTGCAATTGAATCTTCAGCTTACACATTTCATTACCATCCCTTTCAAAGGTAATTAAAAATATGTTAAATAAAAATAAAAAATAGAAATCCAAAAATTTATCTCTCAATAGTGTGTTATGCTGTTGACCTCTTTTTATTTTCAACACAAACCTTGAACTCTAATGTATGCAGCTTTTTCCGTGACTCCACCTTCATTGGCAGCTCGACAGAAATAACTTCCCTCGTCGTCTAACTGTACATTTCTGAAATATATATATACACGATCTAAACATGCTAAATATATAAAATAAACATAAATCTGGACAAATCACTGTTCTCAATTTTATATTTTGTTTCACATGAGTAAGCAGTAACCAAAGTGACTCAAGAAAAAATCTTATGTATGTTTAGGAATGTCTGTGTAGATGTTCAATTTATGAAAATATTCACCTTGGACAGTCTTTTTATATGAAAGGCATTTTTTATATCTTATCCTCAACTTTTTTATTATCAGTTGTTGGTCAATCACAATTATATATATATAAGTCAATCTTTTGAAATATACAACTTCATCAGCTCAACTTGACAGAGAAAAAAATGAGCATAATGTCACATTAAGCTGAGATTTATTTACCTTATAAGTAATGATCCGTTATTATAATCATAGAATTTCTGACTAGATCGTAGTCTGTCCCTGTAACCGTCTCTATGCCATGTTAGATTATATTTCACCATACTGAATACGTTACACGTCAGTAGAGCATTCTCGTTAGGTAACACTGACACGTTCTGGGGTGTTGTGATCGATGGCGGAGGTTCTAGCAATAAATATTTTAAAAAGATAATTCGTTATCAGGAACAATACCTGTAGGTTATATCGCTGTTAGTTTTATAATCTATGGTTGACGTTAAGTCTGCAAAACCATTGAAACCTAATTATAAATGTAACTTACTATAAAGGTAGTCTTACTGCCAAAAAACTCTCTAACATCGGCCAATATCGTAGCAAATCAGTTATTTCTGGAACGTTATTTTGTGAAAATCTTGGGCATTGGATTATTACGATCACTCATCCTTTATTGCTATGTTATAAATTCAAGTTATATACCGTTAAAAATTATTGTATACCAAAGATTGTGAAAAATAATGTTTTAAAAAAAACTATCTCCAAGTGCAGTGCTGTTATGTACATGACCGATGTATTCATTCATTTTTTAGTTTAAAAAAGGTACTGTTTGAAGTTGTGATTGTTTGTTTGTCTGGTTTTTACACTCACTTCAACACATTTTTGGTCATATTTCTGTGGTTGCTCTACAATATACATGAAGGATCTGTGAGGTAAATTTTCAGTTTCTGGCTGTCCTGAATAACTGACCAGTAATTACTTATTTTTTTTACTAACCACTAATATCAAGGAATGTAGGCACACGTCTGGAACCAGTGTTTTTAGCTGAAGCATTACAGAAATAAATGCCCTCGGCAAACTGATTGGCTGCTGGTATCTCTAGTGTGACATTGGCTGATTCCCTAATTACAAATAAACAACTTTAATGTGTATTAACATTCTGAATTCTTTGTGGATGAAATAATTATATCAGTGAATAAGTTAAAAAAAAAGATACAGAAAATATCAAATGAGTGTAAGTTCAATACTGAATTTATTGAACAAGTTAGCCAGCAAAACATTTTATCCAACAAGTTCAATAAATTCAGTAATGAACCTACATGAATATAATATTCTATTTTACATATCCAATATAATGACTGCTTCAAATGAAAAAGAAACATTTTTCATTGACATGCCAATGATGTTACGCTAACATTTAGCGTGTCTTTACACTGCATGTTTGTAAAATGCAAATGACATCATATCAAAATATATACACAGTCATGCAATACCATTTTAAGGAGTCGCAAAAGCAGCATGAGCACGTGATAAATTGCTCTATTTACATGTTGGTAAGTTAGTCACTGATGCAATAGTTCTTTTGAACAACATCAAAATAATATCAAGTTATTTTAATCTAAAAAACAGATGTGATGAAAGGGATCTGAAAATTAAATATGTAAGTAAATAATTTATCAATTACTAACATGAAAAATAATTTAATATGTATGTAAGGAAATAATTTATTAATTACTGACGTGAAGTATAATTGAGGTCCTTGCTGTTCATCCTCCTTGAACCATCGCACAGTGTACGGGACCAGACTCTTTACTTCACAAACAATCACAGCTGTTAAACCAAAATATCCCTTCGTAACTTCCGGCATCCATACCTCTGGTGGACCCGGAACAATACGCATGATGGCAGTCGGGGTCTGACGCTCAATTCTGTAACCTTCGTGATCAACACCACTTATCTGTGTGTCATAGAAAAAACAATGTACAAGTACGTTAATATGGTCAGTAGTGTGAGGAAATTTTTATTGGTGCTAAAGTTACTCAATGCACAATTTAGAACAAAACATCATCTCTAAACCATCAACGTACATATTTCCAGTTCTTTTACCTTATTCATCAAACTATCATGGACTGACCGCAAAACTGTAGTAACTTGTATGAAATAATGAAGGACATACAACAGTTTTGCGATCAACACTCGATATGTCATTGTCATCCGAACGTTCATTTTCTTTTTTAACTTAAACATTTTATCTGTTTTTGCCTATAATTAGATCATTTACAACAATAAATACAAAATTATAACAATTATCGGACAAATCTGAATGAAACATATTACCTTAACATAGAAGAAGACATTGGGTGGAACAAACGGTGGAACTCTGTAAATATTTGGCCTGTTCTCATCCTTGATTAAGGGGTAATCTCCTAAACTGTTACCGAACAAATCTACCAACTGAACCTGAGAGAAATCTGGTAACGGTTCCACATTACTTGTGTTGATAAGCATGTAAGTATTAATGTCTGCAAGAAAAATGATTGTACATAAAAAGTTTATATGAGCTGTGCCATGACAAAACCTACATGAGTGGATTTGCGACCAGCATGCATCCAGGCCAGCCTGCAAATCCTTGCAGTCTGATCAGGATCCATGATGTTCGCTATCAGTTTGTCTACTTGTAATAGGGTTTGTTCACGAACAGCATGGATCCTGCTAACATGATAATATGTTTATATATGTATTTAATTCTTTGCATGTTTTGCTATCAACTTCAGTTTTGTTATAAGTGATACAAATACTATTAAAAGTTACATGTGACGGCTTATCGAACTTTACTTGGGGAAGACCACAGGTAACTGCATATTTCATAAACACTTGAGCCAAATGCCCTTCAGTGTCACATATGGAATATCAGCGGCAAAAATAATTTGTCATTAAAAAGCTTAAATAAAATTCTATTCATTCGACAATGATCAATTAAAAATACACGATATTTGGCTATAATTAACTTTAATAATCAATTAAAGTTACCAGCCACAGGGCGATGATTGGAGTCTTCAATGTGATTGACAGGTTTACGTGAGAATCCAGCTACAAAGTTCGTTGTACTCAGCCCTGTTATACGTATTGTATGGCGACCTTCACTCTCAACGTTCATTTTCCACACACCAGCCTGCGGGTCCTTCACATTGACAACCAGAGCATTTCTGATGTCTAGTAATCTTTTTAAGCCTTTCCTTGGCGTAAATTTATTACCTGAAAAATAAAGTCTCATTAGCAGATAATTTCTATATGTACAGCTGGTTTATATGTCTAACATGGTCACTCTAATTAATTTGACAACTTCCCAATCTTGCCATTGTTCTGAATTATACAAGGTGCCATTTTATGTACTTGTAATAAAATTGAACCTTTCTGTAGTGCAAGTGGTTTGTGTAAACATCAAATTAAACACATACATGTAAATAATTATTTTTTGCACTAGATGTGAATGAAGAAAGAAGAGGGCCATTTGTCCCTTCCTCTATTGTTACGGAATTAACACTATTTTCTCTTTTGTTCTGTTTAAAGTTAGATTTACCCCCTATTCCTTTTGGATAGTGTGGACAGATGGATGGATATTTAAGATTTACAAGTTCTTGCAAGATGACCCTGACATGCCCACTTCCTAGAACTGTAACAGTTTCAAATACCTATCCTGATACAAACTAGTATTATAGTGTCATATGAGGGAACATGGTTCATGAACTAATCAAAACTTAAACCCAGATTTGAGAAGTTGGCATTTGTGCTGCACAAATACATCCTCGATTTTGATTACTAAATAAAATAAGAAACATACCTGAAGGATCTGTGAGGTAAATTTTCGGTTTCTGGCCACTCACTGATATTGTTATTTCCTGTAATTTAGCATCCACTGGTATACTAAAATTATTTGAGTTCGGTTCAATTATATCAACTGCCATCAGGTTCACCTTTCTTGACTGGACAGCCACTCGTACAAAATTTAATACCTGAATATCAAAAGGTTATCATTAATTATTAACTTCTTGTATTGTTTGGAATTATGATATATGCACAGTTACTGGTTGTTAAAAAATTTATACTGACACTGTGCGGTTTACCTAAATGCATATGAAATAACATCAAAAGCTTTGGAATATACAAGACAAGCTCAGATTAATACAAGACAAGCTTAGATTAAAAAAAAAACCTGGAATTTATAAATTAATTTTTTAGCCATAGATATGTATTAACAAATTCATGAATTCTTTCAGAAAAGTAAGCATGATATTAGTATGGTGGCTGATTTGGTACACTTTGGCTGTTGCCTTGTCGATAGCGACTACACAACCTATATTGTTATCACCTTTTCGTCTTGTCGCTAGTGAAACACGCCAAACGGCACCTTGTTGCACTATTGTCTTGTCATCAAGTCGCAAGGGAAGCACATTGTCGTGCAGCGTGTTGTCACAATGTCGCTCTGTAGCTTCGGTTGTTTTAATACAAATAGCCATTATCCTTCGATTTGAGCTGAGCGACAAGGTGACATAGCAAAAACACGCCACACGACAATGCCCCGTTAAGTGTGCTTCCCTAGTGACAACACTTCACACAAAAGTGTTCCAAATCGGTCACCATATATTAGCGCACATTTTTTTTTGTAAAGATACAAATACATGTATTTTAAGAAATAAACAAAAGTTATTTTATAAACAATAAACAATTTTTCACAAATGTAATGGAATGTTGGTGGAACTTACCTCATTAACTTGTGATTTTTTCAGCAAGAAAACTTGACCGGAGCTTGTTGAAGCTATCTGTTCATAGGCCAAATATCCGTCATGATTAGGATCATCACAATCACCCGTCAATACAAAAACAACCTGAGGTTAAACAAAACAAGACACTAACATATCTGTTGATATAATAACAACCTGGGTTTAAACAAAATATGACATTCACTTAATTGTTGATACACAAACAGCATAAGGTTAAACAAAACAAGACACTGGCCTATCTGTTGATATAATAATAACCTGAGTTTAAACAAAACAAGACACTGACATATCAGTTGATATAATAACAACCTGAGGTTAAATAAAACAAAACACTGACTCATCAGTTGATAAAATAACAACCTGAGGTTAAACAAAACAAAACACTGACTTATCTGTTGATATAAAAAAAAAAAAAAACTGAGTTTAACCTTTTCCCTCATATAGACGTGTTTTAACGGCTTTTTGTCCCCCCCCCTTCCTTTTGAGGCCTCAAACAGTGAAAAAATGCCCTATTTAAGACCCAAACACTGTTTTTCGTTTGAAAAGTGTTGTTTAAAAAAATGACCATTTTTTCGGCTTGACCCTCCCATCAGACTAATACATCAGGAGGTTGTGAGAAGGGGAATGTCCCCCCTTCTGTTTGGGGGGTTTGAAGTCCTCCTCTTCGCCAAGAAAATTTTAGACATGTGACAGGCTAAAAATGGCCTCAGGTCGATCTTAAGGTGACGTGTAACCAACGCTGAAAAGCCTTTTACTCTATCTCATTGCATTGAGAAGTTGCAGCACTTCGAAATCAGTTTTGATGGAAAAAACAATGCAAAATAGTGATGTACACCTGTTGCCAAGGTAACTGGAAATTTAAGTGTGAGCATGCTGTTACAAACGTGATGGTTCAGTCAACATTTGTGCCAAGTTTGATAAATATTGAAGCATTTTTCATAGTTTCATAGAAGTGAACTTGTAACAGGAGGCTTTTCAATGAAAACAGCCATTTTTTACAATATGCAAATTGGGTAAAAGGTTAAACAAAACAAGACATTTGACTTATCTGTTAATACAAAAACAACCCAAGCCCAGAACAAAACTAGAAATGTGTCCATAGGACACGGATGCCCCCACACGCCACTGTTCTGTCAATCTTATGACTCTAGGTCAAATATTTTTTGGACTACATGTGCCACAAGTTGAAAACTAAAAATCAACAAAGGGCCATAATTCTGTTAAATTTGGTCGCAGCAAAAATTTCTTACTTTAAAACCATCTACACATTAAGGTTGTTCATCCCTGGAAGTTTAAGCAAAATCTGCCATCCGGTTTAAGAGGAGTTGCATTCACAAAATTTCTACATAGTATATAGTGAAAAAATCAACAAAGGGCCATAATTCTGTAAAATTTGGTCGCAGCTAAAATTCCTTCCTTTACTACCATCTACACCTTAAGATTGTTCATCCCTGTAAGTTTAAGCAAAATCTGCCATCCGGTTTAAGAGGAGTTGCGGTCACAAAATTTCTACATAGTATATAGTGAAAAAATCAACAAAGGGCCATAATTCTGTAAAATTTGGTCGCATCAAAAATTCCTTCCTTTACTACCATCTACACCTTAAGGTTGTTCATCCCTGTAAGTTTAAGCAAAATCTGCCATCCGGTTTAAGAGGAGTTGCGGTCACAAAATTTCTACATAGTATATAGTGAAAAAATCAACAAAGGGCCATAATTCTGTTAAATTTGGTCGCAGCAAAAATTCCTTCCTTTACTACCATCTACACATTAAGGTTGTTCATCCCTGTAAGTTTAAGCAAAATCTGTCATCCGGTTTAAGAGGAGTTGCGTTCACAAAATTTCTATATAGTATCTAGTAAAAAAATCAACAAAGGGCCATAATTCTGTTAAATTTGGTCACAGCAAAAATTCCTTCCTTTACTACCATCTACATATTAAGGTTGTTCATCCCTGTAAGTTTAAGCAAAATCTGCCATCCGGTTTAAGAGGAGTTGCGTTCACAAGATTTCGGGACGTACGGACGGACGGACTGACGGACGGACAAGTGCAACGCTATATGCACCCACATTGTGGGGGCATAACAAAATATTCATTTATCTGTTCTGTAAATTTTTAACATGCCAAGAAAACAATATTTCTCACTAAAATATATATGAGCCGCGTCACGACAAAACCAACATAGTGCGTTTGCGACCAGCATGGACCCAGACCAGCCTGCACATCTGCGCATCTTACAAACCCTATTACAAGTAGAGAAATTGATAGCAAACGGCATGGATCCCGATCAGACTACGCGGATGCGCAGGCTGGTCTGGATCCATGCTGGTCGCAAACCCATTATGTTGGTTTTGTCATGACGCGGCTCATATTTGTATCTCAAAATCATCAAATTAGAATTCAAACCAACAAATTTTGGACTGTCAATCTGAACCATAATGCACTTTCCTCTGGGGTCAGAGTAAGTAAGTTCTTAAAAGATGAGTGATGGCAAAGTGGTTAAAGTATCTGCCTCTATACCCAGGTGATGTAATTTCAAGCCCTACTGAGGCCATGAACATGATTATGTATCATCATATGACACCAGTACTGCCTAGTTCCAGTAAACAAGCTCGGATAACCTCTTAGGTTTCATCACAATTCAGCAATAATAAAAAAAAGTTTCTGTTATATAGAATTTTTCTAAGTTCAAAACAGTGATAATTCTGTCAAAATCTATATTACAATTATGGGCTTTTAACATTGACCTCATATTATGCTTTAAATTAAGTGTGTGAAGTTTCAACCAATTCCCTTCAGTAGTTTTTGAGAAACCAGCTTGCATGCAAAAACTTTACCAAATTGTGATGCTGATGCTTGGGTGAGTACAAAGCTGTCCCTGTTCATCGAACCATGGAGCTAAAAATTATAATAAAATCAATAAAATACCTGGCTCTGTTTCTTTTGTATCATGGCTAAAACTTCTTCAGTAAGGTAGAAATCCTTTGACCTTGCATCAGTGAACACATAGATAAATGAGTTGGGAAGAGAGACATCTATAGCTTCCCTGATTGCTGTAATACTCATCTCGGGACAATCCCCACCTCCCTGTACATACAAGTTCCGTAACTCATGCTGGAAATCATCAGGATCTGTGGTCACAACAACTGGACCCACATCTGAAATTATAATGTAGTATCATAGAGAAAATAGGGAGCACCAAAAGGCACTTTGGGATTGTGAGGTCCTGAATTGGAGAGGTCACCCTAAAGAGCATGGATAATTTCCTAGAGTCTGAAATTAATTTTATTCTCTAATGACCTTAAAATATATAAGGATCAGTTTACTGGCCATGACCATCCCCCTCACTAAGTACATGACAATGCATCTTATGTCACAGGACAGAACTGTAGAAATAATAATTCTCAAATCAATACATTGATAATGAGAGTAATTAAAATAAATGCAAAATTTCATATCAATCACATGTGGTATGAGCAAATAGTATAACAAAGCCATATTTTCTGACTTATTTATATTTCAAATGTTCAGTAACTAAAATAAGTATATGGGAAAAGGGGAGGGAGTAGGGGTTTGATGCGAGAATTATTCCAATAGATATCATCATAAGTTACTACTAAATATTAGTAAAGAGGACCAGACAGGCTCCATAATGCTGATCAACTTAATGAATAGAACTGGTTAGCAAATTACAGATTAAACAGTAGCCAAATTAACATTTTTGTTTGTTAGAAGAGGAAAGAGTAATTAGATAGCAAATTACATATGATTTTGTTAATAACATATGTGTTTTTAAAAAAACTGTTACCACAGCAACCAAAATTGATTCATAAAAACTAAAATAAGATTGCGCAAATTAGCTCCGGACCCGGGTGTAGATTTTCCGAGGTTTATGAAAAAAACCATGGAAACTGCTTCAAAAACCTTGGAAATAAACCAGTTTTACAAGGTTTTTTCTTAATTCCGAGTTTTTTTTTTAAAACCTTGGAAACTTTATCCAAGGTTTTTGTATAAAAATCCTTGGAAATAAAGAAAACCTTGGAAACTATCTCGGAATTAAACACTCTGCCAAAAATCAGCTTGGAAAAAGCTTGGAAATAAGAACTTTGTCATTTTTTTGCTCGGAAAAGAACTTAGAAAATTTACGTAAAATTTGTTGGAAACACTTTGCCAATATTTAGCTTGGAAATGACCTCGGATAATTGAACTTAACAAAATTTCATCTCGGAAAATGTTAAGACATAATAATGGGCATCAAAAGCAATAATCAACAGTTAAAGCAAACTAAGATAACAACCCAACTGTAGATTGCCAATGGATATTTCTTAATCCATGGTCAGAGCAAACAATTGTCCAACAGCATGGAAAGGAGAGATTTGGTCCAGGGAATCAGTTTTTAGTATGGACATTGTCAATGGCCAACTTCCTTTTCAATAAATTTGTACTTTAATCTTCTGAAGCCATTTTTGTGGAAGGAATCAATTAAAAAAATTTAAGTGTGAAAACATGGAAAAGTTAAATACAATGTAAATTCCTTGTTGCCATAAAATACCTTTTATTAATGGCTATAAAGGTATTGTAACTAATCATAATAAGATAAAGATTATTCAAATAACTGATGATCAGAAAGACTTAATTGAAAATTTTTTTTTTTTTATTTTCATATTTTTTTTTTATTATTTATAATTATTGTTACTAGATATCTTCTCCATTTTTAAGAAAAGATAAAAGAGCAAAACTTATAATTATACTAAAAGAAACAATCAGTGTTTATGTCTATTAGTTTCTAAATGCATCAGTATTTTTCCTGCAGTTTCTTTCTATATATAGACTTAACTTAGGGTTTCTTGACAGCCTGTAATCAACACTGAAATAAGAATGCTATTAATCTTTAATATATGTTTTTATGCCATATAAAATAGTATATTCTACTAAGCAAGTCTGTGACATACATTCAGATTACAATTTACTCTGCCATTAATTATGTGTACAATAAACATAAATAGTTATTAATTGTCCTTTTAATATATAATGATGTACAATTAATGTGTAAAATATGTATGCTTGATACTTTCTTATAATTAAGATAAATAAATACTGCATCCACTATTAGTTTTCACACACAGAATATAACACACTGATCAGATAAAACTAATGGCACCCCAGGTGGTTCCTTCTTATAATCTATGCATGATCAATCTTCTCATTGAGCATTCTGGGATAGACCAGATTGTTCCATGTGATTATTCAGGGGGGAGTCTGGGTTTTCATACAATCCAAAACAGTCTAAAATGACACTGCAACTGTGATTCTCTTATAATTTTCAAGTTTTACTTTTATTTATCATTTGATATATTTGTACCTTCAATAAAATTAATGTAAAAATAAAATGATGATGGCTTTGATATTTTGGGATCACCCCTGTTTCACATTATGATTGCCCCTTCAGTTATACTGTTGAAAAATTTGAATCTCAGACATTAATGGGTCAAGTGGTTATAGTTGGAAGTAGTGCAAACCTGGATTTATTTTAAGCAATTTTGGACATATCTTGTTTTAAATGTTAGGGAGCATATTTTGGAATTTTCAAAGAAAACATTTATCTAAGTGTGACAAGATTCAGGAAATGTTGGCTGTTGTAATTGAACCTAAAGATCAATGACCTGGGACAGGAAGATAAACAAAAGAAACATGATAGTAAAAAGGTTCAGGTAAATAATTTTAGATACATTTATGCATAAAATCTGTTGTTGTTTTTATTTTCAAATAAGTATTAAATACAAACTATTTTAGATCTATATTTTTAACCTAAATGTAAGCTAGTTTAAATACAATTGTTTAGAGGATATTCTATGAGTATTAATATTATTTTTGTCTATGATTGTATTGAACAAGATGAGTGCATGAAACTATGATGACATTATTTATAAACTTTCATCTTTCATCTATTATTTGAATCTACAAATTTTTAATTACAGAGTCAGCTTGTAAGCAAGGTTGCAAGACTGTTCCAAACTACAAGAAGATGGCAATCCAGCTTTGCTGTGTTTTATCATAGTATATCATTGGCATCCAGGCATCGATTAAGGAAGCCAACTGTAGACCAGGAAAGGCTTCAAGGAATATACTACAGTATGTTTTTGTTTTAAAACTAGGTTTTGAAAGTTTCAATTTGAAATTTGAATGAATGAAGGTTTCTGGAACTGATTTTTTTATTGTTGGAAATGCTATTAATGTTACATGATGACTCTCCAGCTTTAATGATGCAGATGTCACTTTGAGCAGACAGATACAATTAGTGTAGGCAATCGGAATCACCTTATGTTCAAAAGCGTTATTTTTTGCAATATTTTTAGAGTGCTTTAGTTTGTAACATCCAGTATGACATTATATAATCTAAAATAATAGTAACAGACATCGTTTCTTTTCTTAACATTGCAGAATTGTCACACTGCTTACCAAAGTTTTCTTGAAATCCTGACACTAAGTACTGATGAAGAAAAATAAGAAATCAACATGAAAAAAATTAAATTCACTATTTCAAAACATTTAAAAGTAACTACAGAAAAGGTCATTTGAAAATATTGAAGCCTTCATTTTAATCAATGGTCTTGAACAACTTGTAATTCAAGTAGTTTTGGATCACTCAAAAGATGTTTTTCTTTTCACAAAAGTGCTGATTTTTTTAAAACAATATATATCAACAGTGAACTGATATTTTTGTCTATGGAAACGTTTAAGGAATGTATTATTTTTTTTATTGATTAATAAAAAAGAAATTAAATGATGTAATTCTGATTGCCTACACATACTGAACTGTCCTGAGTATAACCACAGGTGTTCCTTAATCCTGGGCTGGATAGCTCCCTCAGAGGGAAGAAGCCCATCCTGGCTTCAGGAGTCAAAAATACAATGTTGTAAGGCAAGTAGTTTGAAGTCTTTGATCCTGACCACATGGAGAGGGAAGCGCCCAATGGAGAGGGAAGCGCCCAGTGGTGATTTTATATAATTGTTTTTCTAACTTCTTTCAATGGCTGTACTTTATTAAATGTTTACTTTATTTATTTCAGGAATTGTATCCTGGAGCATTTTCCACATGCGACCCCTGTGATGGTGAGGGAAAAACTAAGGGACATTTAAAAATCATGAAGAGTGAACAGGAATTCAAAAGATAGATATTTGAATACATTAAAATTTAACCGGATACCAAAATATTATAACTGAACATTTGAGTGTAATATTTACCATTAAAGACTTCTAACTTAACTTTTCATTTGTAGTGCATTACTATTTACTTCACACTGACATTAAATGTTTCAGTGAGTCATGTGATCATTTTTTGCTCTGTATTATTACAAAGAAGTTTCTTAATTCCTTAAAATGACAATATAATTGCTCTTTTCAGAATATTTGATTGGATGTTATATTTTCTGATTTTCCATGGATATTCTAGAAATTTCCAAGGTTTTTGCTCAAATAAACCTTGGAAAATTCTCTGATGCCCTTAAGTAAGAATCCTCGAAAATATAACAGTATTCCCAGTTGTGAGAAACTTTCCGAGGTTTTCATTTAAAAACCTTGGAAAACAAACCACGGAAACACTTTAAAAATCCTTGGAAATCGTTCCAATACTCCGAGGTCACTCATTTTCCAAGGTTTTCTAAACAAAATCCTCGGAAATTATTTTACGAGGTTTTTATTCTGAAATCCTTGGAAATCGTTCCAATACTCCGAGGTCATACTTTTTACGAGGTTTTTTTTTAAAAAAAACTCGGAAATTTTTTTACAAGGTTTTTCACCCTCTCCCTATTTTTCCAAGGTTTTTTTAATAGCAAAGTTTTGCATTTTCTTGTTCCAATACTCCGAGGTTTTTTTCCAAGGATTTTGAGCCAAAAACCTTGGAAAATCTACACCCGGGAAATGCCTTCCCTTTTTCTTTTCATCAAAGATTGGTTCATGGAAGAACCTTTTGAACTTTGTAATTCAATTTTAGTTTTACAGTGCACAAACATAATCAAGATTGGTTAAATGGTGCCAAAAAGATGAGCATTGAGTTAGGTACCTTAAAAATAGACATGGAAAGATATGACGTGAAATTTGTTTAACACTCTCAGCAGGATGAGGGTTATATGTGTAGTGCAAATCCTCTCAATAAAGAATTTGAGAATATTATCAAAATAAATGAATTAATATAAAAATAACCACTTTAAACTTAAGATAAGATTAAACAGTCTTTTTGTGTGTGTTTTTTTCTGTATTTGATCATGTTCCCGGTACATGTTTATATGTATATATTAAGTCTTTTACTATACATGTATTCACATAGGGATTTTTCATTTCTATATTTTTCTGAGAGGTATCTCCAATTAAACAGATAATTTGTCAAACAATTCACATATATTTGTGGGTTTTTTTTCATAAATCATAGATTCAATTTGGAGTTTTTGAATAAGGTCAACATTTTGAACAATTTTATTGCCTAGCAAAAAATAATAATTATTTTTTTTTATTAAACAATTGAAAGCAGAGCCAGGTGTCAATGAGAATCACATTTTTATATCTGTCTTGTAGGTATACAAAATGGAATAACGTTGAATAACACTTTGAAAATATCAGGTTCTAAACTTGAAACAGATGCAAAGCATTCACAATTAGTTTTGAATTTGCTATAATTTTAGAAAGAACAATTTTTTTTTTTTTTTTTTTTGGAAGGGGGAGAGGGGGGGGGGAATAAAATGTATTTAAACTTGCATGAGACATGGGAGGGGAAACAACAGTAATTTTAAGGCTGGCCCCTATAGCATGTGTTTAAATGTCAATATCTCATCAGTGAAATATTTTATATAGGTCTATATATATTCATATACATACCACTAACATTAATAATATTAAGATTTAAGACTAACATAAAATTCAAGTTGGAGGTTGTCAGTTGGACATATATCTTCAGGCTATGATTAATATTTTATTTCACACAGCAGTCAAACCTGTTCTCACAGCCACTAATAAAGAGGCAATGATAAGCTCCAAGCATTTTTCTCTATTTGAACATTTACTGCACTATTTAAAATTTACAAGACTGGACAAACACAGTCATTTTTCAAATAATTATCAATGGTTGAAGGAAAATAGCAAACATCACACATTATATTGTCTCCTTTTTCATTGACAGAGTCCAAAAGGTTCATACTGAATCCATTACCACACCCCATAATTTATTTGAACCTTGTTTTCATTTCCAGAGATCAAATCCATATTGCACTCCATGAAACCACGTTTTTTTTTTTTTTTTTTTTTTTTGGGGGGGGGGGGTAGAGTCCAAAACCCATATTAAATCCTTATTTGTGATTATTTAGTAACAAAGTTCTGTCAAAATATGGTGGTATAAAAAAAGTCATTAAACATTGGTTGACCAATAATAATATTGAATCAGTACTTAATGATTCTATTGGGGCGTCCGTGGCCGAGTGGTTAATGTTGTCGACTTCAAACCACTTGCCCCTCACCGCTGTGGGTTCGAATCCCGACAGGGACTTTGGATTCTTTCATGTGAGGAAGCTATCCAGCTAGCTTACGGGACGTCAGGTGCCCGTTCGTGCCTGAAATAATGCATAAGGAGCACCCGAGGTCTTCCTCCACCAGTAAAGCTGGAACGTCGTGATATGACCTATACTGTGTCGATGTGACGTAAAACCCAAAACAAACAAATGATTCTTTTGGACTCTGTGAGTATTGTACTTACTCAACATTGAATGTATAATATCCTCATAATCTCTTTCATTTACTCTTTGAATAAAAATACCATAAAAAGCAGTTGAATTTAAACAGTTATAAAAATAGTTATAAAAGAGATAAATAAATAAAAGATATTGCCATCTGTAAATGGCAGTGTTTAATACCATCCTTGCATATGGCATATCGTTGACAAACCAGCTCTCAAACCTCTAAGCATTCAAGAGGTCTTTTAATATAAATAAGAATATATCTTTATGAAAATTCTTGACATATGTACACTTTAATCTTTATGTAACATTTCTGTAAAATTTGGCTGAAATTCAACAATTAAAAAAGCTCTATTTCCATCTTGAAAAAGCACAACCCTCTTTAAACTGACATGGCCTCTTAAAATAAAGAACCTTATCTCAAACCACTTCGAGTATCTCAGAAATTCTACTATTTAGTTAAGCCAATAAAGTGATTGATATATGACTATCACATGAGACTGAATTACCATACAGGATGCAGGTACCAGACTACCTGCTTTAAGATATTTTTGTCTCTAATATTCATTTTCACAAATAGTTAATGTTGTATTTACAGGACCTACAAATGTAATAGCAATTTGTATGAAATTACGCTAAGTAATCAAATATGTAATGTAAATATTTGTTCCTATGCACTGTTTTCATTTGACAGCAGCAGACATGTCTGTCAGAAACTAAGCACTTATGCAGACCAACTGAAGACATCATAGTCACTTCTAGTAAAAAAGTAACAGCTCATGAATGAAAGGTTTGAGAATACGTTGGGTGTGAGATTAGGTACTTCTACATATATCTACAAAAAGAATGATTTTCATAATTTGAATTTGAATTATGATTTCCATTAGTAAATGTAGGAATGTTAATTTATCTTAGTTGATCTACTAATTATAATCTCTTTGATAGTACCTCATCAGGCATCATAGATTTAAAACTCATTAACAATACACAATGAACTGACCAACGGCCACCAAATACTGCTTACCAGTCATTTCCAGACGATTTATTATCAAGCGAGCGTTCCATTGACTCAGATGTGAACCACACATTCTTGACAGCGGCTTCTGTTCATGTTATTTAATAAAGGCCTTAGAGACGCTTATTAAGTTAATAAATATGTTGATCTAGTAATAAAATAACAAAATTTCCAAACGTAATCTGCCAAATGAACAATTCAGCTCTAAAATCAAATGTGTAGAAAAACAAAGCGTTCGAAAGACTATAAATGGCGTAAACTTAACAAAGGGGAGTAACTATGTAATTTTGATAATATCCCATTTAGAACTATTATTAATGACTATTATGTTCCATCTAGAGATGCAATATCCCATATATTTATTTTATTTAATATGAATAATTGATAAAGATATAATCAGTTTTGATATAATCATGTGTGTCATCAAATAAATCTTTTGGGAATAACATTTGCTCATCGGTTTTTCTTCGACATACATGATTGAAAAAGTAAAAAACGAAAAGAGAGGGAGAAAAAACCATACACACTTGGAACATTAAACAATGCAGACCGTGTTATAATAAAATGGAAACGCATTTAATGTCGAGTGCAAATTGCAGACAATTTTAACTCACAAAGGAATATGTTCTTAAGAGATATGTATATATGATATACAATTATTTCTGCAGCTGTAAGAGAAATAAATCAAATTGTTTGCGGTTAAGCCCAATTAAAATGCACGTGTTCCCAGTTTTACACAGTCACGCAAAATTTAAACTTGATGTCCTATTTTAAAATTTTAAAACGAAAAACTGAAAGAAGCCTTTGATTAATATCTAGTCCATTTAAAATCGAAAAATTATAAGCCTTTATTTACTCCGTCCTAAATTTGCAGTATACATGTATAGATTTATACGAACGACCATAGCAGACCAAGATCAGCTGGCACATCCGAGCGGTCTGGTCATGGTCGACTCTGTTTCATATTCTTTCAATATAATATTATATAATTATATATATATATATTAAATTTTCCCCTAATAATGATGAAAGTTTTGTTCATTTTGAAAGAAAGGCAACATCATTTAAGATATTTAGCGTGAATATGTACTTAATTATCTCAGACTAATTACATGTAAAAAGGTAAAGGTAAAGATCTTGTTTATTATAGTGTCACCCCTACTGAAAGGGCAAGCCATCTCTGACTTATGAGACACCTTTGCTTGCATACCATGTACCTCCCAACTCCTACAACTATGCCAGGCACCAGGTGGATAGAAATCGGTAACCATTCATTTTAACTACCTCGCGGCACACAAATCGGCCATTTCGGGACGAGTCCCACGAGAAACATTCTTCCTCCAATTTACGCTCCCTGTGGGACTCGAACATTCGACCTCCCGCTCCGAAGGCGGACGCCTTAACCACTAGGACAACGGTTATGAGGAGGTAACAGATTCATGTAACAGAAAAATATTCAGAATTGAATAACTTCAAATGTACTTTCATAACTTTAAACAGACATAAAAGTTCCTAACATCTAACTTATTAATTCACATTAAAGCATATATGTGCGTATAATTGTAGAGCACAACCTATTTCTTGCCAAAGTAGCTGAAACATATATGAGTCGCGTCACGAAACAACCAACATAAGGGGTTTGCGACCAGCATGGATCCAGACCAGCCTGCGCATCCGTGCAGTCTGATCAGGATCCATGCTGTTCGCTTACAAACCCTATAACAAGTATAGAGAAACTGATAGCGAACAGCATGGATCCTGATCAGACTGCGCGGATGCGCAGGTTGGTCTGGATCCATGCTGGTCGCAAACGCACTATGTTGGTTTTGTCGTGACGCGGCTTATATATTTCACGGCGTGTCTAATGCGTCAAAGTTCAACAGAATTTGATTTATTTCTATATTTTTGTTGTTATCAAATGTAGAGAATAAATTACGGAAACAGCTGCCCAAGTAAACTGCCTTCAATCAAAATGTTATCTGTGAAAATAATTATAAAACATTGGCGATGTAGCCGAGAACAATAAAGGTTAAAGACCCGTGCCGCACGTACTACTTTATTCTAGGGTTAACTTCACTTCCCGGAACTTATTTTCTGACACAGCAAATATGTGTGTCACAAAGTGACAGGTGTCATATATAATGCCCTATATGGATTATAACGTTTGACTTTTATTGACCAAAGTTCATAAATATCTTAAGAATAGCAAATGTTTACAAATACATGTACTTTATATTTATATACATTTTTTTATTTCGTTTTTATTTCTATTCTTTATTTTGAAATTACGGTTTCACTCTTGACGAGTTTATTTCCAAATTGTGTGCAGAACAGAACACGACATGATCTAAAGAGAAGGGTATGATTGCTTTAAAATGCTTGTATTGTCTTGTATCTTAGAAACTAAAGTCTTGAATATAATTCTAAAATCTTTACATACTTCAACACACAAGAAAAAAGATTAAAAAACTGCATTGAGAGATGTCACTTTGTTTTATACATATGTTTAGAGATTGTAATGATAAGAACTTGTTGCATACGATAAGGAGGGACAATGGCAGTTCCAAATGGTAACAGTCTTCATTTAACATTATTTGAAGGAAATGCATTTTGTTAGATCAAATTCTTGCCGGCGGTTCTGTGTTGCTGGGTTTTATTCATTGAACGTCACCTTTCCTCGTATGTTTTACACATCATTAAATTGAATTAAAGATATTTTTGTTAAAATTGGTTATGCCAAAAAGGAATTAAATCTATAGGAGTTAGGACTTATTAATATAGAGACTTTGGAACTATAGTAGCATACATTTTCAAGGTTTTTCACCATTTCAATGATACAACAGAATATAATATATACACTTTATTTAGAAGAACACATGTTACAAAATATGCAATTCTGCAATAGCATGCGTGCACATTAATATGCAAATAAAAAAGCAATGGAAATGGTCAATAATTCGTCCGTAAAAGGAAACAAAATAATAAATTGAAATAATTTGCCTTACTTGTTATTGTTTTAACTTGTTTTAATTTAGATATCTATCTAATCTTAAGTGGGAAAAAGAAGGATCCTAAAAATACCTTATAACATCAAGTCTCAATAAAGTATGAGACTTGGTGTTAAAAGGTATTTTTTTTCATATATGTAACAAAATGTTTGAAAACCAGTTTTATCGTTGTAGCAGATGTCACATTCATGTTATAATATTAGAATATTTTTGATAGGGCGTCTCACGTTGGGGACAGGATCTGACCCCAAACGTCTGTGGGTAAAAGAAAAATCCTTCAAGTACTTTTTGGATTCATGCTCCGGATAATTTTTTTCAAGTAAATCTGATAAAGAAGATTAACTCTTAAACTAGGCAAGGTAGAGTTATTGGTCTTACACTCTGCACTTCATCCTAATGTGCCCCCTGAGAGTACGAAGTTTGAAGGAAATCGCTCACGTAATTTTAGAGTTATGCTCCAGACAAAATTGGGACGGACGCACGGACGGACGCACGGACTCATGGACGGAGACCATTTCTAATATCCCCTTCGTCTTTGGCGAGGAATGAATAACTAAAGAAAACAATTGCGTATTACATGTATATCTAATTGTGTTTTGCAATATAAGACTACTATGATAGGCTTGTCAATATTTGAAATGTAAGGTAATTTTCATAAAAGAATAAAAAGAAAATGAGGAAGCGAGAAGAGAAGACGAAATGGAACAAATTTTTATGTTTGTATACTGTATTTGTAATAATGTACATGTAGATACATTATTCAAATAAAAGAATCAGTATTAATAAATATATTTAACGGCATGACTGATAAAAATGTCAAGAAAATGAATGATAAAATTACATGTATGTACATTATAGTTTTTTCCGCCACAAAGTTTCCTTGTGAGACATAATATTATGGCTTGTTAATGAAAAGAAAATGAAAAGATAAAGACAAATGAACGCTTCTAATATAGAGTACTACAGATCAATATCATTTTATTTATATTAACTAATATACTTTTTCTCTTTATCCTATATGTATTTTACACGTTAATCTAGATAAAAAATATGTAATGATGTTGGTTTTAAAGTACATTACCTGGGTCATGGAATGGTACGAGGACATAATTATACAACGGTTTTTCTCGTCTGCTTAATGTTGTCGCCAGAATTTTAGCAGCGCCCTCTATAACCTGTCTCAGGTCATCATACATTGACCCCGTAATGTCAAACACGAACGCAAGTGATGCGGCACCTTCACTGGACTCCGTCATTCTCTGCCCGCTAACGTTCATCACCGCCAACGCCGTTAACGTCAAATATAAAGATCTTATATAAACTTTCATATTTTTTCGTTGTTTATCCAATTTAAATATTTATATATATATTTTTCGAAATTAATTTTAAAACAACTGTTTTAATTTATTCCAATTCAGAACAAGTCATCGTTTTTGGCTTTTTAACATACTTTATTTAAAATTTTGATATGTATTTTTCATTATCTTAAAGTGCACCTAATTTCCATCTAAACTGCAATGTGCACATGAAAGAATGTAAGTAAGTCAAAAATACACCATTTTAGCCGAGATTCATGATGTGATATGAGATATCTAGACAGGTTAACAAACACTCAAAATAACATGTTTAGAGATTATAATGATAAGAACTTGTTGTGAAAACACATGCCCGAAATTTATCATGAAAAAACAACTGTTCTCAACTACAAAGACTAATTCTATGGAACGCCGTGTCTGTCCTTTTTCAAAAAGTGGTTTTTAAATTCACAAAAAAATGTTTTGGAAATAAAATCTTTAAAAAAAGTATTTTTTCTATTATTTCTTTTTATTTAATAGACATAACCATCTGAATAATTATGGCTGCGTTTTAATGATGAAATATGTGTACATAAGGTGCTTGGGCAGTTAGGCACTTAAAGACATAGGCACTTGGTTTCTATAGATACAAACCCTCTTGAGAAGTTTGTAGAAATCAAATTTAATTGAATGTTACGACTTTTTTTAACGTAGATGTGTTTTCTAAAACCGACATTTTTTCCGATGTTACTCAATCAAACCGAGTCTGCAACATTTTCAAATTTGCCGTCTTGGGTCTTTCTTTGGGGATTCTGTTTTTCTTTATTATAGTGTAACATCATTGTTATTTGTGCCGTGTGGCGGCTGTAATAATTATGTCTCCCCCTATATTTCATTGAAGATGTTATATTTTCGATCCTTGAAGATCGTTCAGCACGGCATTATTGTTGTGTATACATGTTATATGGTATTTTTTTCTTTTTTTCGGCATTTTTCTTCTTGTGTGGTTCGAGTATTCTTACTTGGATGCTATACAATCCCCATTAGGATATGTCGTCTGCCTTTTGACTTAAAATATTAAAAAACAGAAACAAATAACTTTGCCTTAACTATGTTTTCTAAAATTATTCACGATATAAACGCGCATTACATATTTGATACCAAAGAATTGTACACATTTTCATGAAGGGAAAGGTATGGAATTGTATTACTATGTAATTAATGAAGAGTTTCAAGAGTTTATTTCAGAAAACATCCGGGCAGTTTTTTCATGCGTGCACAGTACGTATAACAAATAAGCCTATAATATAGTCAAATGGTCAATGTCAAAACTTTATCAAACATATATTATTAGTTTACACAATATTTTAAGCAATAAAATATTAAATAAAATAACTATCACTTATAGACACAATTGTAATAAATGAATGAAATACACAAGCTACCGAAAGAAATGAAGACAATTCATAAAATCAGTGGAGAAAATACCCAAGCTTTATATCAAGGACTTTAACTGTAATTTAAGTCCGTGATTATAATTTATATGACCAAATGATAACATGTGTTGATATACATGTCACAATATCAAGTACATGTTATTTTATGAAGGACTCCAAGCACCAGTCTTTGGTCAAAATTATTTGTTGATAGTTCTTTTATTTTTCCTTTTCGGTCTCTCAAATCATTGTAATTTTTAACTTTCAAAATAAATCTATCATCTATTGTGATATAAGATGAGATATTTAAGCTACTTTGATTTGTAACATGTATTTAATTTTCTACTTAGATACAATGATATATATATGTTAAGAACACTGCTCTGCTAAATTACTCTACATGAAAATGTTATTGCCAATTTGTATAATGCTTTACTATTGCTGTTGCTATTAATGTAATTTAATGCATGTTTTTTTATATTGTTATTTTTATTGAGGCTAAAAGATGAATTATGCGTTAAAGTTTCAATAAAAAACTACTGTATTTATATAAACATCAATAATCAATCAATGGCCTGGTAGCAACATCGTCGGATACCCACGGCCGAACCATTAACATTTATCTGATTGCATGTTATGTGGCATGTTTATCAATCGTGGGTATCCGACGATGGGTAGCAAGCGCGTCAGTCTCCTTCCTCTCACCCCGGGTGTGATGGGTTCAAGCCCTACTCGCGTCACGATAATTAATGTTTCCACATATGAACTCGGCTAACTAGTGTTTGAAAGATTATGACATCTCTGCTGGTTTATGCTTCTATTGTAATCTATGGCATTAATAATGAACATTTTTCCTACGTCGTTTGTGTACCTATAACAGGCATAATGAAAAAAAAACGGATCACTGATCTATAAGATAATGGCCTAGCCGGGTCTTTTATTCTACTTCGTGATGCCAACTAGATGTATATTATCCGTATATCCCGTTACTTTTCTCTTTTAAAAAACGAACGTGTGATATAGCAAGTTCTGTATTGACTTTGAAATATGTAAAGATATAAAGATTTTCTATTTGCAGCATTATAAACAATATATTGTACTGTGAGTAAAGATACATTCGCGATTTTTCTTTATTGTAAATTCGTTATAAATATTTCGTTATGAATATTTCTGACAGGTCATATGGCCGTATACAAACGGTTGTTAGCAATATAACCATCACCTAACGGCTCGGGGTTCATTTACAAGCAAACGTTTAAATAGAGCCACATAACCTGTCAAAAACTTTTTATAACTAATGATATAAACGTCACGATTATCCAATAAAAAGCATCGTTATAAACGTGAAGTATAATAAATTCGTTATAAATATATACGCTACAGGTTATATGACCGTATACAAACCGTGATTTACACTATAACTCTCGGCTTTTGGCTTGGGTTATATTTCCAAACAACCGTTTATATCGGGCCATATAACCTGTCAACTATCTTTATTAATAATAATATACAAGATTAAGATTTATATAGAACAGAACAGAACAGACATTTTATCTGAGACTTGTACATAATACATCGTCTTGCAAATATACATATATCATACAAATTATCATGTCACATGGTAATGTTTACACTTGAAAAGTATATTGATTGCACAATAATACATACTATATGAAACAAAGCAGGAATATTATTTGACATTTGTGCAAAAGTAATTCATCATACAATAAACACATATATGCAATCATATAATTTAAATTTATTATGTGCATAGGTCGAGAAACCATTTTAACAAACAGGTGAAAGAAATTTTATTGTGATCAAAATCTGAAGAACATTTGCTTGTAATCATATAATTTAATATCAATTAAGACTAAACAGTATAGAGAGGATGAACATTGTGAAACAGTATACAAAGGATGAACAATGTACGTGAATATCAGTTACTTAATAGTGAAAGTCGTACGTATGTAGCGGCTTTAATATATTTTGCTAGATTTGTTATTACAGTATAATTTTTATTCGTTAGCAGCTGCATCATTTTAAACACACTCGGCCTTTGAAAAAAGTATCTTTTAATGTATTTCTTCCTTATATCTTCATAAAATGGGCATTTAAATAAAAAGTGAAAGTCATCTTCTACGTCTAACAAATTGCATTCCAAACAATATCTTTCATTTCTAGGTATTCTATATCTTGAATAACGACCGGTCTGTATCCTAAGTGAGTGTGCTGATAAACGAAGTTTTGTATAATAACTTCTTAGATTAAAAGGTAAAATATCCAAATAAGTTTCATACCTTAGCTCTTGCTTAATATGTTTATAATTTTAAAGCACTGCTCAATTATTGACTGATGCGTTCCAATCTTGTTTATAACAATCAACGATTCGTGTCTTAAAAATATTAGGAAATTTTTTCAAATCAACCATTCTAGGATTGAGGAAAATATCTGCAAATCCATAATCACTTTGTAATTTTTTTAAAGTTTGAAACCCAGTTTTTAGGTCCTTAATACAATCTATCAAACCCTGTTCATATGTCTTTTGTAAAATAATATTACCTGACTGTTGCAATTTACACCAATATTTTACAATTCTTACGTATCTTGTTATATATAGCGGGAATCTTCCTAACTCGCCGTAAACACCAGCACTTGCGGTTGAAATTCTAACATTTAAAATACGTTTGCAAAACTTAAGATGGATTCTTTCAATTACCTTTGATTTTGTGTAACCCCATAGTTCTGATGAATAGTTCAATATAGCACCAACAAATGTGTCAAATCACTGAAATAACAGTAAGGGTTTTAATTTAAACTTATTACATTTTACCAAGAGCACATTCAGTGTCTTTAAAGCTTTACCTGATAAGTGTTCCTGATTCAATGAAAAATTACCGGCGTAGTTAAACACCGTTCCAAGATAATTAAAATCATTTACATTTTCAATGTTATGGCCATTGTAGGTCCAACTCTCGTTAGGTAAATAAACTCTGCGCTTTCTAAACACCATAATTTTTTGTTTTCTCCGCGTTTACCTCCAAACCCAAGGTATCACAATATGTGTGTAAAAGATCTAAACTTTTTTTTGCGATTCTGCAGAAGTCTTTCCTAGAATGACCATATCATCTGCAAACAACAACAAATTTAAAACTATGTCGTCTATACATATTCCAGGGCTTTCAGGCGATTGTAGTTGCAATTCTAGATCCTCAACAAACATTGCAAAAAGTAGAGGGGACATTACCTCCCCTTGACGTAAGCCTAAGGCATAACAGAAATAGTCAGAATATTAATTACATTTCTTAACACAAGATTTGACATTAACATACATATTTCTAATTATTCTAAGCAATTTGCCTTGTATCCCCTGTCTATAAAGCTTAAGCCATAAAGCATTCCTATATATACTATCAAAACACTTTTTAAGATCTATAAAAGCTGCGTATAATCGTTTATTTTCATTTAGGAAATGTTGGATAATAGACATTAAAACAAAAGCAGCATCTACGGTTGAACAGCCTTTCATAAAACCGAACTGTGCGTCGGATATAACATTATTGCTTTCACAGAAAGAAATAATTCTATTATTAAGTATGCCAGTGAATATTTTTGATAAGCAACTAACTAAGGTTATGCCACGGTAATTATTTACATCTTCCCTGTTGCCCTTTTTAAACAATGGTATAATCACACCTTCGTACCATTTTTCCGGATAAATACCGGAATTTAACACCGCGTTGAATATATCACACAAATGACTAGCAATATCTATACTCTCCATAAAATATTCATTCATCAATAAGTCACTACCCATGGCCTTATCCCTTTTAAGTTGCTTAACAACTTTTAAGACTTCCTCAACTGTAAT